TCCTCCTCCTCCTCCTCCTCCTCCTGCTCGAGAGAATTGGGGAGGTCCCCCAGCTCTTTCGACCCATCCGGAACCATCTCCCCCGGGATGGCAGCTTCATCTGGAAAGTGGGGAGACTTTGTGGGGTCCTGAAGGGCCCCTTGGGGTTCTGTTCCCGCCTGTGGCAGCCGATCGTCTTCGGACGGGACTTCCACCGGAGGGACCTGCAAGGGGGGGAGGGGAGAGAGAGAAGAACCTCCTGCCAGGAGCCCCGAGTTCAGAGCAGCTCCGGTGACAGGCTTCACAAGCTCTGCTGCTGCGGCTCCCTGCCCTGGAGACCCCCAGCCGTCTCTTCCCAGAGGGGCCCCAGAGGCCAGGAGGCCGGACCCTCTGAGCTTGGCTGCTTTCTGGCAGACGTTTTGTTACCCAATGACCAGGCAGCCTCACTCATCAGGGCCGGAAGGAGGTTTGCTCCGTTTTGCTCTCCGAGCGTCGTCGGTGGTGGTGGTTGTGTTTTTGGCGGTTGTTCAAGTTAAGTTTGATTCTTTGAGTTGGCAGCTCCGTGACGGGGGAATTGTTTACTCCTTGATTGCTGGTCAGGATCCCTCTTTGTGCTAATCCTGGCTCATCTGGATGGGCGGATCCTTCAGTAGCGATCAAGAGCCTTCCAGGGGAAGGCCCGTCCTGCCCTCTGGACAGCCGGCCTCAAAGGAGATACACAAACGGACCCCCACCGTGGAGGGGATCGGACCAGATAAATGAGAATAGACCTGGAAGGGCCCCCGGAGGTCTTCTAGCCCAACCCCTCTGCTCGAGCGGGAGACCCTAGGCCGTGGGTGTCAGACAGCCCCCAGCAGGTCAGATGTGTCACGCACTGGCCACGCCCAGTTTAGTGAACGGGGGGGGGGGAATTCACGTCACATGATGCCACTGTGACCACCCGAGTTCGACCCCCCTGCCCTGTATCTCATTTCACCCCAAAGGAAACCGTCCACTCTCCTCTTAAACACCCGCAGCGCCGGAGCCCCAGGACGCCCGGCGTCCAGCCCTCCATACTGGTTCCTTCTCCTCCCTCTGAGGACGTTTCTCCCGAGTCCCAGTGGCTGCTCTCCCTCCTTGAGCTCCCATCCGTTGCTTCTTGTCTGGCCTTCTGGTGCTTTGGGGAATGGGGGGGGGCTCCTATTCTTCCGGGAAGCCCCTCAACTACTGGAAGATGCTGTCTTGTCCCCCCCAGTCCTTCTTTTCTCCAGACCGGCCACGCCCAATTCTTGCAACTTCTTCCTCTGATTTAGCCTCCAGGCCTTTATTATTATTATTAATTATTATTAATTA